TGATCATTGCTTGGTTTCTTCGCAATCAGACCAGACAAACTTGATTTTGCATCAATCTGTCGGCACAGCATTCAGTTGTTTTAAGCAATATGTCGCGATTCTGCACTTACGAACATACTTGTCAGAGACAAAACAAAGCCAGTGGATGGACTGTAAGCAAGAGGAAACATCAGAGGGTGGTTGTGAAGAACTGTGTACTGTCTACCACACCGGAATACTTTCACATTCAGCGTGAAAGATCATGGGATTCCGACATAAAGAGGGACTGTCCTCCTTTACGATATCCTTGACCGATTCAGTCTTACTTGTATGACGTGTTCTAATTTTGAAATAAAGGGGTCAACCTCTGATGACTGAAAAATATCGGTTGAAGGTCGACTACCCATTTCCCAGTTGTGACATTTGAAACTGCACTTTAACGTTAACATGTTTAAACAATAGGAATAATAATAAATGTATACATTTATAATTGGTAATTATAAATAAAAGCGAAAAAACACGTATTATAATAATGAGAAATATCTGTTAAAAACAGAGCCCCATGTACGATTCCGATTACTAGTATGTCATAAGCATGTGGTCATGAATCACTCTCAAATAGTGATGATACATGTACAGTGTGTTTGCAAAACGGTGGGCGAATCCTTGCACACGTCACAAACACACGAAAAGGCAAGTCAATTACTCACCTGAACAAACACGGGAACATATGGTACAAGCCAAGATAGAGAATTGCATCAAACATCAAACATCATTTTTGTCACTATATCAAATTTGGAAATGTCCTCAACATGTCCCCCCAAAAACTTTGGGGAAAATTTACTGAAACCTGGAAGGTTTATATCCTGATCAAACAACTTTTGAACAGAGTCGTATGACGCTCTTTGAAATATGTGTATAAAGAACATGCTCGATTGTACCCCATTTTTATAATGTCAACACCAAAGGCTGGAGCTGCAGGAATATTGATCTACATTTCGGGAAAGTTAACAAGTTTAATGTTGAAGTCATCTCTCTTGTCATAAAATTTTGTAGCTAGTTTCTTGTCACTCAGAATCTTTATGCATAGATTTGAATATGAAACAGATGAGGTTTCACTGAGCTCATTTATTTCTGGGTGGGCCTGGGTATTACAGTTTCTTCAGTTAGCGTTTCAACGCCCATACATTTTTCTCCATAATACATACTTTTCTTGTATATCTTGTTTATCCAGTAAACGATTGATTGACTTGTTAAACCTGAGAACAAATTATCTTTTAGAACAAATTATCAGGGAGAGGGAGGTGGATGGGGGTGGGGGTGGGTGTAAATGAGTTCCACTGTATCTAAATTAATGGTTTGGGTTTTTGGGTTGTTTTTTTTTTGTTATTTTGCTTGTCATTAATTGGCATGCTCGGTAAATAAGTATATACATATGTCTGGCAAATCCGAGGAACAAATAGTTGTTATCTAACATACTAAGAATCTCAATAAAGGAAACTCTAAAGACGACAATACCAAATGTCCACATAAAGTGGAGATAACAATATTCCGCTCAGGTGGATGCTGGATAATGAAAATCAGAAAGAACACAATTTAGAAATAATTTGGAAGACATGTACATGCACGAAATTCATTGTTTGTGAGATCTGAAACCAAATCTGCCTACCATTTTCAAATCGGTTAGTAATGGAGATGGTACATCTGACCTATGGCCTTAAGTAATATCTCCTTGTATGTGTGGGAGAGGGCTGTGGGCTCCTGGTACATTTCAGTTGTAATCACCTGCTTTGTAAGAATCAATACCAATAGACTATAAGCGTATGGAATGACATACAAGAAGAAGACTGCGGCACCGGTTCCCTTGTTAGCTTCTTCTTCTTGCATCCTGGTGTTGTCCTCTTGCCTCAAACGACGTGATCGATGCTTGGTAATTGTTCAAAGGTTAGCCTTTCATTACTGTTGGATATACTATAATTATTCTTTGAAAACCGAGTTCTTTGGAGCTTACATATTCGCCATCTGGTCTACGTCATGGATGTACTTCTTGAAGAGTGGTAAAATTGGATCCCAGTGGCATTTCTTCATCAACATTGTTAAACAAACATAGTAAGTAACTGTGTGAATAGTACCTTATTTATTTATATGTCTGAGACATTTAGGGCGGATACAAATACTTATATCATTATCTATATCGAAATATAAAACAAGTGCGAATGTAAAGTGAGTGAGTAAATTTGGTTTAATGCCACTTATTCTCTCAAACATTAAGGCGTACTGTTCACGTCCAGTACAAGCCTAGACAGCTGTAATTAGTGCACGGTGTGAAACTGAGACATTGTTTGCGTGTAACCAGGGAAACTATTGACACACATCATAAAGTTTGCGTGTGAGCAGACAAACAAAGAGGCGTTTCAATTACTTCAAACAAATTTGCCAAGACTGTCAATTTGCTTGAGACTCGTTTCTGTTTCTGGGAGGAAATGCCAAAGGGACGAATATCCTTAATGTATGGAGAAACTTTGGAGAAACCAATCAGCATGAGTGTAGAACCATCAGAGGTTGGTTGTGAGGAACGTCAATATAAGGGTGGGATTTTGGAATTCGAACCCTTTACCATTGAACCATCCTGAGTGAATAAGTAACTTGCTATCTATTCCAATAAAAGTTCCTAAGAAAGTATTTGTATCAAGTATCAAAGACACATACATGTACTAATATATGATTAAGAGAATTTGGATAGTGATTACCATGTTTAGCATATTGCAATTGGTATAGTTTATAAAAAATAAAAGCGACAAAACCCTTTCGATATTCAACAGAAATGGGGGCGGGCGGGTAGCCTAGTGGTTAAAGTGTTCGCTCGTCACGCCGAAGACCCGGGTTCGATTACCGACATGGGTACAATGTGTGAAGCCCATTTCTGGTGTCCCCCGCCGTGATATTGCTGGAATATTACTAAAAGCGGCGTTAAACCATACTCACTCACTCATTCAATAGAAATGTCTACTAAAAGTAGAGTCCTTACAACTGAATAGTATATATCTTAACCAAAAGAGGGCGCCATTGATAACAAGCCAGCAAACTATAACATGCATAAACTTCTTAAATTAACTACATTAGCTGATACAGAAGTAATCATTTGTTCAGTGGATTTTGTAGTGATGCCAGATGATATTTTCTTTCTTTCTACATATGATATTAAAATGACTGCAAGTTTCTACAGTTCGAAAACATATAGACGCCATGGTGGTATTTTTATGCATTTTATTGTCCCATTAACAGGCAGCAAATGTTCATAGCATTAAGGATGTTTAGAGTTTCATCAATTTGAAAACCCGTGAATTCATACGGAACCGTTCCCTTTGACCGTCCGGATTAACGAGATATTGTTAAAGAGCAATATCCGGTCCATAAATTCTAACAGACCCGTCCGTAGATAGGGTTTCCGGACTTTTGGGGTTCGGAGTTACGATATTTCACTTTTAATCTTTGTTTCCATGGGTTTTATAACCAAGAATCCTTTTGCAGAAATTGTATTTGTTATACTTTTCAACGCATCCTTTTTCGTGCCAACTAGTTGAAACTTATTCAACTTTCTGACTACCACAGCGAACATCGTATTAACAAAGCCGTTTCAATCTCATACATTGAGAGTCTGCAGCGTGGACATTAAGATTCCTCGTTATCACTTAACATGATAGTGAGTGGCAGTGCATTGATTGACAGATAAAAAAAGACGACTGCAAATAGTTTTCAAGAAGTCATGTCCTGCTACTAAAACAGTCATCGTTAGGGTCTTATCAGTCATTATTGGCCTACATCACGTCCCTCAGGCATCCCCATACCTCTTGGTCAACTAGGACCCGAAAAACAAGACTGATCTAGGTCACACTCCTAAAGTGATTTTCCATGGCCGTATTATGAATTGGGCGTCAGCAGCCTATCATGTGGAAGCAGTGAGAACTTCTCTTTGATTGGAATCCCAAATTCTCTATCGATTGTATGCAGAGTAGGCACTCAATATATTATTGCACTTACGAGCAGTCTAATATAATTGTAGAAACATTAGAGACTCTGTCGATCTGGCGCTAGGCTTGGACACAGTCGACCACCATGGTCTTACACTTTAAAAAATTGATATTTACGCCATGTCGCTTCGCGTTTTTTAAAGATTAAAGAAAGTTGCTGAATGAAAGGCCATCCAAGGAGAATATGTCAAGCGTCGATTAAATCCATACAAAATGTAAGGTATGGGAAGTGACGACAGTAATGCCGTGATGATGTCGTGGTGTAAGATTGAACAAGCACAAAAATAAAATGTTAGACCGCGTTAACTCCCTTGGAAGTGTCAGCGAGCCATCGTTTGAAACCTATCAGTATTTTCACTAGTTTTAAAATTTCGCACAACACCGATTTGCGCAAGGTTTAGACAACTAAAAACTGTACAAGGAAAATACGTTTTCAGTGTTTCCATTAACATTGATGATATCGGCCAAATGATTCTATTTCAACTGAAACCATCATGCATTTGCTTTCAATAATCTGTCAGAGGACACTTAGTTTAATCTGGTTGCAGGTGTACAATGTGCACATGTGGGCATTACGAGTTTCTTCTTGTTGCACGATCGAAATGCGGATGTCAGATAACTACTAATCTGAGTGGTAGTAGTAGTAGTAGTAGTAGTAGTAGTAGTTGGAGTAGTAGTAGTAGTAGTAGTAGTAGTAGTAGTAGTAGTAGGAGTAGTAGTAGTAGTAGTAGTAGTAGTAGTAGTAGTAGGAGTAGTAGTAGTAGTAGTAGTAGTAGTAGAAAGAATGGCTTTGCCCGCTTTACGATGCTTTTATGCCTTAAGTGGCTCAGAAATTTATACGCTGACCACTACAGCGAACAATCGGATCATGTCACGACTAGGAGGTGCTACTTTGAAGCAAATACCTGAGACAAAGACCGCTACAACCGCGTCCAAAGAAGTAAAGTTAATGACATATATAAAAGAAGAAGTACTTGAAGCAGTAGAAGTTTAGGTATTGATGGAAGTAGAAGTAATTGTAGACGTAGTGATAGTTGTAGAAGTAGTGATAGTTGTAGAAGTAGTAGTGGATGTTGTGGTAGTCACAGAAGTAGTGGCAGTTGTAGAAGTAGTGGTAGTTGTTGAAGAGGAGGTAGTTGTAGAAGGTGTGGTAGTTATCGAAGTAGTTGTAGTAGTAGCGGTAGTTGTAGAAGTAGTGTCAGTTGCAGAAGTAGTGGTAGTTGTTGAAGAGAAGGCAGTTATAGAAGAAGTGGTAGTTGTTGAAGAGGAGGTAGTTATAGAAGAAGTGGTAGTTGTTGAAGAGGAGGTAGTTTTAGAAGAAGTGGAAGTTGTAAAAGTAGTGGCAGCTGAAGAAGTTATGGTAGTTGTAGAAGTAGTGTCAGTTGTAGAAGTAGTGGTAGTTGTTGAAGAGGAGGTAGTTAAAGAAGTTGTGGTAGTTATAGAAGTAGTGGTAGTTGTAGAAGTAGTGGTAGAAGTAGTGATAGTTGTAATGATATATTGGTAGTAATGAGTAGTAGTGGTAGTTGTTGAAGAAGTGGTAGTTATAAAAGTACTGGCAGCTGTAGAAGTTATGGTAGTTGCAGAAGTAGTTGTAGGTAAAGAAGTAGTGGTAAGTGTAGAAGTAGTAGTACTTGTTGAACAGGTGGTAGTTGTTGGAGAGGGATAGTTGCAGAAGTTGTGGTAGTTGTCGAAGTAGTTGTAGAAGATGTCATAGTTGTAGAAGCATTTGTAGTGGTAGTTGTAGAGGTAGTGGTAGTTGTTGAGGTAGTGGAAGTTGTAGAAGTAGTGATAGTTGTAGAAGTAGTGGTACTTGTTGAAGTAAATGTAGAAGAAGTGGTAGTTGTTGGAGTAGTGGTAGTTGTAGAAATAGGGGTACTTGTTGAAGTAGTTGTAGAAGTAGTTGTAGTTGTAGTGGTAGTTGTGGAAGTAGTGGTAGTTGTAGAAGAAGTGCTACTTGTTGAAGTAGTTGTAGAAGTAGTATTAGTTGAAGAAGTAAGGGTAAGTGTAGAAGTAGTAGTACTTGTTGAACAGGTGGTAGTTGTTGGAGAGGGGTAGTTGCAGAAGTTGTGGTAGTTGTCGAAGTAGTTGTAGAAGATGTCATAGTTGTAGAAGCATTTGTAGTGGTAGTTGTAGAAGAAGTTGTAGAAGTGGTGGCAGTTGTAGAAGTAATGGTAGTTGCTGAAGAGGTGTTAGTTGTAGATGAGAGGGTGGTTGTAGATTTAGTGGTAGTTGCAGTGGTAGTTGTTGAAGAGGTAGTAGTTGTAGAAGGAGTTGTAGGTTTAGAAGTAGTTGTAGTAGTAGTTGTAGAGGTAGTGGTAGTTGTTGAGGTAGTGGAAGTTGTAGAAGTAGTGATAGTTGTAGAAGTAGTGGTACTTGTTGAAGTAAATGTAGAAGAAGTGGTAGTTGTTGGAGTAGTGGTAGTTGTAGAAATAGGGGTACTTGTTGAAGTAGTTGTAGAAGTAGTTGTAGTTGTAGTGGTAGTTGTGGAAGTAGTGGTAGTTGTAGAAGAAGTGCTACTTGTTGAAGTAGTTGTAGAAGTAGTATTAGTTGAAGAAGAGGTGGCAGTTGTAGAAGTACTGGTACATGTAGAAGGAGTTGTTGTAGTTGTAGTGGTAGTTGCTGAAGTAGTGGTAGTTGTAGTAGTAGTGGTAGTTTTAGAATTGGGTGTTAGAAGTAGTGGAAGTTGTAGAAGTAGTTGTAGAAGTTGTAGAAGTAATGGTACTTGTTGAAGTAAATGAAGAAGAAGTGGTAGTTGTTGAAGTAGTGGTAGTTGTAGAAGTAGGCGTACTTGTTGAAGTAGTTGTAGAAGTAGTTGTAGTTGTAGTGGTAGTTGTGGAAGTAGTGGTAGTTGTGGAAGTAGTGGTAGTTGTAGAAGAAGTGGTACTTGTTGAAGTAGTTGTAGAAGTAGGGGTAGTTGAAGAAGAAGTGGTACTTGTTGAAGTAGTTGTAGAAGTAGGGGTAGTTGAAGAAGAAGTGGCAGTTGTAGAAGTAGTGGTAGTTGTAGAAGGAGTTGTTGTAGTTGTAGTGGTAGTTGCTGAAGTAGTGGTAGTTGTAGTAGTAGTGGTAGTTTTAGAATTGGTGTTAGAAGTTGTGGTAGTTGTAGAAGTAGTTGTAGAAGTTGTAGCTGTAGAAGTAGTTGTAGTTGCTGAAGAAGTGGCATTTTCAGAAATTGTGGTAGTTGTCGAAGTAGTGGCAGTTGTAGAAGTAGTGGTAGTTGTAGTAGTAGTGGTAGTTGTAGAAGGAGTTGTTGAAGTAGCGGAAGTGGTAGAAGGAGTTGTAGGTGTAGAAGTAGTGGTAGTTGTAGTAGTAGTGGTAGTTTTAGAAGAAGATGTAGTTTTAGTGGTAGTTGTAGAAGTAGCTGTTGTTGCTGAAGTAGTGGTAGTTGTTGAAAACTGTTGGTAGTTATAAAAGTACTGGCAGCTGTAGAAATTATGGTAGTTGTAGAAGAAGTGGTAGTTTCAGAAATAGTTGTAGTTGCAGAAGTAGTTGTAGTTAAAGAAGTAGTGGTAAGTGTAGAAGTAGTGGTACTTGTTGAAGAGGTGGTAGTTGTTGAAGAGGGGGGGGGTTGCAGAAGCTGTGGAAGTTGTCGAGGTAGTTGGAGAAGATGTCACAGTTGTAGAAGCATTTGTAGTGGTAGTTGTAGAAGTAGTGGTAGAAGAAGTGGCAGTTGTAGAAGTAATGGTAGTTGTTGAAGAGGTGTTAGTTGTAGAAGAGAGGGTAGTTATAGAATTAGTGGTAGTTGTAGAAGTAGTGGTAGTTGAAGAAGTAGTGGCAGTTGTAGAAGTAATTGTAGAAGTTGTGGTAGTTGCAGAAGTAGTTGTAGCTGCAGAAGTAGTGGCAGTTGTAGAAGTAGTGGTAGTTGTTGAAGAGGGGGTAGTTGTAGAAATTGTGGTAGTTGTCGAAGTAGTGGCAGTTGTAGAAGTAGTTGTAGTTGTAGTGGTAGTTGTAGAAGTATTGGTAGTTGTGGAAGTATTGGAAGTTGAAAAAGTACTGGTACTTGTTGAGGCAGTTGTAGATACAGTTGTGGTAGTTGCAGAGGTAGTTGTAGAAGGAGTTGTTGTAGTTGTAGTGGTAGTTGCTGAAGTAGTGATAGTTGTAGTAGTAGTGGTAGTTTTAGAATGGGTGTTAGAAGTTGTGGTAGTTGTAGAAGTAGTTGTAGAAGTTGTAGTTGTAGAAGTAGGTGTAGTTGCTGAAGTAGTGGCAGTTTTAGAAGAAGTGGTAGTTGTCGAAGTAGTGGCAGTTGTAGAAGTAGTTGTTGTAGTTGTAGTGGTAGTTGTAGAAGTATTGGTAGTTGTGGAAGTGTTGGTAGTTGAAGAAGTAGTGGTACTTGTTGAAGTAGTTGTAGATACAGTTGTGGTAGTTGCAGAAGTAGTTGTAGTTGCTGAAGTAGTGATAGTTGTAGTGGTAGTTGTTGAAGAGGTGGTACTTGTAGAAGTAGTGGTAGCTATAGAAGATGTGGTAGTTGTAGAAGTAGTTGTGAAACAGGTGGTAGTTGTAGAAGTTGTGGTAGTAGTAGAAGAGGTGATAGTTGGAGAAGAGGTTGTATTTGTAGAAGTAGTGGTAGTTGTAGAAGTTTTAATTGCAATGTGAACAGAACTATCGGAATGATCTGGGTGTGGGTGTGGGGGATTTCATATTGGGAATTTTTAGGACGTTCTCTGTTTGTGATGCTGTGTGAGAGACTATCAGGACCCTTTATGCGTGTGTGTGATCTGGCGCGAAAGACTATCAGTACTTTCTCTGTGTGTGATGCTGTGCGACAGACTATCAGGACTTTCTGAGGGTGAGTGACAGTCGGGACTTTCTCTGTGTGTGAGGGACCATCGGTATTTTCTCTGTGTGTGATGCTATGCGAGAGACTATCACGACTTTCCCTCTGTGTGATGCTGTGTTAGAGCCTATCACCGCTTTCCCTGTGTGTGATGCTGTGTTAGAGCCTATCACCACTTTCCCTGTGTGTGATGCTGTGTGTGGGACTATCACGACTTTCCCTGTGTGTGATGTCGTATGAGGGACTACCAGGATTTTCTCCGTGTGTGATCACGTGTAAAGGACTATCGGGACTTTCTCTGTGTCTGATGTTGTGTGAGAGTCTATCGGGACTTTCTCTGTGTGTGATGTCGTATGAGGGACTACCAGGACTTTCTCCGTGTGCGATCACGTGTGAGGGAATTTTAAGACTTTCTCTGTGTGTAATCTCGTGTGTGGGACTATAGGACTTTCTCTCTGTGTGATGATGTGTGAGAGACTATCGTGACTTTCTCTGTGTGTAATCTCGTGTGTGGGACTATCACGACTTTCCCTCTGTGTGATGCTGTGTGAGAGACTATCGGGACTTTCTCTGTGTGTGATTTCGTATGAGGGACTACCAGGACTTTCTCTGTGTGTGATCACGTGTGAGGGACTTTCAGGACTTTCTCCGTGTGTAATCTCGTGTGTGGGTACTATGCTCACGTAGCAAATTACATTTACTTCTCTCATAATGAAAATACCTAAGAGTGTTGCATTGTTACAAACACAAACCTAATTAGCCTTAAATTAGTAGACATGCTGAGATGGTCGTATTTACTACTTTACAAGTTTTTATTATTTATGAAATAAAATAAGCATTTGCTTGACAGTGAGTATGTACTTTAACTTTACGGTTTAATTTGTCCCAATTCCCATTACTGGAACACGCTGGATCTTGATTTCATCCGTTCTCCGAACTCTATAGTGTGTGAGTGCGCGGATGTTGTATTACGCCTAAGGCAGCAATATTCCAGCTATATTGCTGTGGGTTAGATCAGGCAAACACTGCAGGTATAACTTGTTCATTGTATTCAGGTTACAGCAGTCCTGCAACACGTGTTACCTGTTCAGTGTTAAAAGAAATAGTATACGCCCACACCACGCATAAATCTTTAAGTTAGTATTGTCACACTTGTAACTAGTTTTCTACGACTGTAAATCTACATTAGTAGATGTAGATTGAAAACAAAGTGGCTGCCATTATTTTATTCATGTAACGCTTATTATGCGTTTCTCCTCGTGCATATTATGAACTGGGCTGACGCAAGGTATATTTCAAAACTTTAGGGAAAAAGAGCCGAGTAAAGATTAGTCGAGACATATGATAATCATGAGTAAGAATTTTAAATCATTAAAATATTACATACAAAACTACATAGACAATGAAAGTTTACAGAATGAGTAGACTCCCCAATGCCCTTGGTTAATTAAATATATCATCTCGTGAAGTTCCCTAAGTATCCGATTCAATATGTATCGTATTTGATAAGTCCACAATTTTTGGCCGTAAGCTACTCTCCCAATTGCGTCTGTATACATAAGAATTACTGTTCCCCCATACAGCAATAACTTCTATTTAAGTGGACCTCGATGGTACTATCACAGACATAAATACTTTATTACTTATTTAAGATGGGAGATTACAAATAGATTTTTTTCTCGACTGCCTATGTAATCATGGCACACGCTACATCCGGACCATCAGACCCCTACTTCCTGTCACCGCGCAGTACTCTCACCGGAAATGTCAGTAGGTAATTGCCTTAGCGGAAGTGACATTGGCGTATGATTTGTCCAGAGGAAGAGATGTATGTCATCAAGGCTCTGTCTGTAGAGACCTCTAGCAATATTACAGACCACTCTCTCCAAGATAAGTAATCACAATGTGTGGACGTGACCGTTAGATTGCGTAGGTATAGGGGTATATGACTGGACAAACAGTGTATTGATCTTTGTTCTGCGTTTTAAAGTTTCTGCTTCTTGTCCAATTAGATTCAGTTGGTTTCTTTTTTTCAATTTAGCAATGAAGGAAATCGTGGTCTAGCCATTGATATGATCTAATGCGAGTATACGAATGCGGTTAAATAGCGAAATGATTACATCAAGAATTACTGACACGTTCGACTGGAAAGGGACAGTGGGTAGTCTGATTAAATCGTTCATCTGTCACACCAAGACCCAGGTTTGATTACCGATATGGGTACATCGTTTGTGGTGTCACAGGTCGTGAGATATTGAAGTGTGAACTCACAAACTCACTCACCCACCCAGCCACACTCTGATTTTAGGGATACTGATCAGATACGTTGACAATGACATTTCTAGATATGAAAACGAAGAGAAAATGTTTGTGTGTGGTTTACAATACTGAATGGCAAATACAGAACAATTATAGTACAAATGTAGTACAAATGTAGTACAAATATAGTACAGATCGCTTTAAATCCTTAACTTATCTTAATATCTACTTAACAATTGTTTCAGTGACACAATAATGACCCACATAAATCCTTAAGATTTTCACTCTATTTTCATTACATTACAAAGACGCCCGTGTGCCCACAGACAACAGGCATCCATTGATTACCTATCTACAAGCTACATGTATGAGCCAACATATGTATTAACCTAACTCCTGCTCTGAAAATACAATCTGCGAACAATGTCTGAAGTAATCTATGCATCGTATGTCTGCAACTTTACCTATCATGCCATTAATAACATGGCAACAATCATGTCAGCCCACGAGGAGAGAGTGATTACACCAAGTGCTAGTCTTATGCTGTACAGGAATAGGGTCAATGAAATCTCTCGTGTGGACGCTTTCGTTTACACATGGTAACATCTCCCTAACAACTTGGCAATCAGACGTAGATCAGCGTTCAATGAGAGGCCTTTGATATGAGCATGTGCCAATTTCTAAGGCCTAACTGTACATATTATTGTTCCAAGTCAGTGATAATTTCTAAATGAAAGATATCACATTCTGCAACAGATAGGTAATGAGACAGTCTCGTCTATCCCGGATCTCAGTACAGCCTGTGTTAACCATATTGAACCTAATGTATTGGAAAATAGCATTTTTCCCCAAGCCTAGAGGTGTCTGTGAGATTAAATGAACTATCATCTCTACACGAACATTGTCGCGTCGAGAGGATTCTCATTATAATACAGTTCTTAAAACAGCATTACCAATAATAATTGAACATTCTAAGATATTTCGAAGCAATGGATAATTATATTTCCGAACATAGTCTATGTATGGTAACCCTAGAATATATTCTCTTCGTGTTTTGGTTTTTTTTAAATAGATTTTTGTAAGTAAATCTAAATATGTACCAGAATACTCAGCTTACCTTCTCACATGGCCCTCAGTGGTAAGTTACAAATGGACACTGAGTGTCTGAGTTGCCGTCATCACTATGGTAACCGTACTTCACTAGGAATATTGTTCACACCGTCACAGCAAGTATAGCTCACAATCAAAAAGAAAGGTATGACGTATCAAAACAATGGAGATTTATCTAGATAAATGTGTAACAGTTTCCTCTTGTCATAGCTATTATATACCTGCCGTTGCAAAGTAAGGTTTGCATTAGAATCGTCGTTGTTAATGTTTATCAAATAAAGAGATAAACATAAGTGTTTTGAACTTTAGACTTACTGTTGCTACCCTCGCGACTATGTACACTCACACTCACACTCACACTCACACTCACACTCACTCTCACTCTCACACTCACACTCACTCTCACACTCACTCTCACACGTGCCCTAATTAGCACCACCATCATCATTCACATCTTGTCCACCCATCATCGCAACGCTCACATCACACTTTCATACAAAATGCTTACATTCTAGGTATAGTAGATCACGTCTAAAACACCAAGACGTCATTACAATGAGGAGTCACTACCTGGTATCAAGTTGCTTTATGTCAGGAATACTTTTTTTCTGTTGTATAAATTACTCAGAAACACAGATGAGTCGCATTGTTTTAAATGTCATAGCGTCGATGTAAAGCGATACATTCCACAATATCTTCATTAATAATGTCAGATATTTACAGAGCTCCGCATAGCGCATTTTCAAACAGAAACTCTTATTGCACCAGTTTTTATCTTCCCTTTACTACAGACGTTTAAATGTTCATTTGTAACACCATACAATATGAATACTATTTAATACAATCAGCGCGCATGGTGTTTATATATGCAGTGGAATTGACTTAATGTTACCTGACTTGTAAAATGTAAAGAAGTCCGTTCCACATATGGGGGGTACGCCCAGTCGTCTAAGGCGCCGCGATTCGCTGTGCAGAGTTGCGTCCAGAGAGGCTAGAAACCTATGATTCTGGGTTCTAGTGAGTGAGTGAGTGAGTTGGGTTTAACGCCGCTTTTAACAGTATTCCAGTTATATCGCGGCGTGTAGGCTTAATGTGGGAGGAAAGCCCAAAGTGATGCAGGTCTCAGACGTTTACCACTTCGGTGAAACCCACGAGCACGGCTATGGTGCTGACAAACCTAGAAACATAATCGGGGCGAACCGGGATTCGAACCCACAAACATAGGTTTCTGGCGTGCCCAAGGGACGCAACTCTGCACAGCGAATCGCGGCGCCTTAGACGACCGGGCCACCCATGCCCCCGATTCTGGGTTCTAATCTAATCGATTATGTTTCTAGATTTGTCAGCACCATACCCGAAGTGGTAAACGTCTGAGACCTGCATCACTTCTGGCTATCCTCCCACATTAAACTGACACGCCGTGATGTACCTGGACTACTGTTAAAAGCGGCGTTAAACCCAACTAACTCACTCATTCACTCACTCACTCCACATATTGAAATCGCTATCCTCATGTCGTTTTTTCGGTGTGCATAATACATTTCTTCCATCATGTACAGACTAAAACATAACCATTACAAAATTTAATACATTGTAAATTTGGACATTAATTAAGTAAATAATATATTTACAATTGTTTATGCTTGTTTATCATATTTTCAATATTTATCAGCATATAAAAGAAAGCAGACATGAAACGAAGAAAGTGATGCTAAAATTATCCTCTCTTGATCATTTTCAAACAAATTCATGCAAAGTGTAAAATATTCAAATCGGTCCGGACATTAGTCTAAAGTTTTAAATACCCTTTTAGCCCCCTCCCCTTTCACCCCCTTCTACTAGATGAGATTTAAGAATACCTGCCTTGTAGGCGCATCCATGTTGGAACTAGTGTAGAAAGGATAGTGGGAGGTTTTGGCATAGATAAAGTAAAGGCTATTACGTCTTTATAACTACAATGTATATTGAAACCAACTGATCATAGATTTGAAAGAAGTTCATTTTGTTATAAGATTGAAAAAGAGGAGGGAAGTTGTATATGGATTCTTTTACATCCCGACATTCCGTTGAGGATCGACAGTTGTGAGAAAGGACTGCATTAATTCATATGCGTTTTCATATGCTAGTCACTTGCCTTGCACACCCGCGATAAAATGGATCATTTTAGCCACATTCACAATGAACTATATAAAACCATAAAGAACATATAATTTCTCTTACTCCTTTAATGAACCGTTTGGTTCAGAAAGGGGGATTCTGCATGGTTAAACATCTTTTCAGTCATATTAAACAAGCCACAAAACGCTTCTGGAATAAGAAACCGGGCAATGAGCTACAGTGTTTGCTGGACGTAAATTGTGACATGATTCTGGTGATTATTTTGATGATGAGGATCAGATTGTTCAAACTGTCTACACAACAATTACACAAGAGTGTTTGCTGGTAATCACCGCAGCAGAATACAACCGCCCCAAGACAGGCGCTACTCACGTAGAGGAGATTATGGAAAGCAAATAATCCCTGACTACACATTGTTGGACATGTTGCAATCATACTGATATCCACCATTGCTGTTTTACTGGTGATGATGACAGCAATAGATGGAAATGAGGGACGGAAGGAAACAGAAATAATTGCGAGGGGTGAAAAACGACATCTATCTCCTCTTCCCTTTCAAGAGATTTTATAGTTAATAACCCAATCTGTGTGAAATGTGAAGATTTAAATGAAACTGTTTTCTTGAAAAAGTCAAAACTGTTTTCTCTACTCAAATAATGTTTTTTGTGAATAATGGGAGACAGATCACGTTAGTGTTTGCAGTTCGCTATTTATCAATTTGTTTAACCAAAATATAATTAGACTCTCATTATGGTCCGCTTGCTGAAACATCAACATGACTTGAAAATTACCATATACATGTCCTCATCTCAGAAATACCAACACTTTCAAATTTACTTCATTAGGCTTCTATAAAACACGGTCACAGCTGATATAATTACACAGGGGAAGTAGCAGTGTGTGGGCGAGGCTGAATGAAATGTAGTTAACCGTACGTAAAGTAAAAAAAAAACAAATAATGAAATTATTTATTTAACCATAAGTAGTCATAATTATTCCATCACAAAAAGCAATCTCACTTATGCTGATGTTGAAGCTACTGGTGTAACATGGCATAGTCCGACTCAAGCTGTCGGATCTCCGCCATGGAAAACGCGCGCAGACCGATAGCCATAGAAGTACATGATATGACTAAGATTGCCCTGCGTATCTAATGCATCATTCATTCTCTACAAGAATTCTTGCTACGGTGATGAAAAACTCAACTCTCTCACTCCACGTCGAAAAAAATGAAATCATGTTCAACGATATACATTATACTTTCCAATATCTATTTCTTGATCTATATGTTCAGTGACCTGCGTGACATTTTGCGGAACTAATTACTAGATTAAAATAAAATTGACTATGTGGGACTTGAATTATTCAAAATTGAAGCAGACTTGCGAGGACTACCGACTGTCATGAGTCTTGTCTTCCTTTATGGTGAGGTGAGGTGAAATGGTGTTTAACGTCGCGTCCAAGACTATTGCACTTATAGCGACGTGCAGGGTGTGTGTGTGTGTGTGGCTGCTTGTACTAGTCCGGACTAATGCCGATTTTATAGTGCTAGCCTACTGGTATACCATGCCGCAGTTTAACATGAATACCCAACTCAGACACAGTATACTGACTCTGGGCCGACCAGTCCTTGCTTTAGGCCCCTAATGCCGAGCGCAAGGCAGGGTAACAACAAGTACCATTTTTAACGTATTTTGGTATGTCGCGCCCGGGGATCGAACCCCGGACTTTCCGTTCTCCGGGCGAACGCTCGACCACGGAGGCGGTCCTTTCTTTAAGGATGTCTGCTGGCCTGTATTGAAATTTACTTTGGCTGAGGTAGAAATATTTACAAACTAGTTTTCAATTGTACTGTTCTTAATTCTTAATCTGGTTCACTGCATATGGTTAAAAACATGACCATACTTTGGCGTGATTCCTTTTTCAGGAAATCGATAAAAGCTTGCACCATTTTGGCTGTTCATAGAATTTTCACGTGTATCGAGGTTTCGCGTCAATATCGTTTAGTCATTACGGCGTGACTTAATGTATAAACATACTTTTAATAGCCATGAGACATTGCTGTAAATCAAGAGTCTGTTGTACGATTCCAACTATATCCTAAACACGTGTTCATGAATCACTATAACAAAGTGATAATATCAGGTGTTCTCGAAAAGGCGCGCGTATCTGCCCAACCGCCATCCGGCACAGGTGTACACATGAAAAGGCAAGTCAATTATTCACATGAATCATAATCAAAACTAACACGGGAACATATGGTACAAGCCAAAATAGGGACATCATTTTACTCTCTCGTGATGCGTCACATTTGGAAATGTCCTCATCATGTCTACCATAAAACCTTTTTTGAAAGATTTACTGAGGCGCCGAAAGTTTATACCCTGATCAAACAACTTCTAAGTAAAAGTCGTATGATGATCTTTGAAATCTTGTAGAAAGAGCAAACTCGATTGTACCTCAAGATTTGTGAATTGTGGACACCAAAGGCTGGAGCTGCTGGAATAAATTAAGAATAAGTTTGAAGTCATACCTCTTAGCATACGGCCTTGTGGATCTAAGATGATCCATATAACTTGTGGATCTATGTAACAGATGAGGAGTTTCACTGTACTCTTTTTACAGTTCAGGTAAGTAAATCAGTAGACGGGGATTGGCTACTTGACCATTATTTAACCATATAAAAATATCGATAACACACATCATTTTTTTGCCGTTTGTTAAAATGTGTAACCAGCCTTGAAGACAACACAGTCCATCGGTGAAAACGTCTTAAGTAATCCTCAACCAATCCTGAGGACGATGTCTTCCCTGATGAAGGTGCAAGAAATGTCACTGAGAGGTCGTTGAGAAATAATAAGGAACTATTCATAAATTTCATTTCATGTATTGCTGATCTTTCAACTTTGTAAATGTCAATCAAAGACTTCATTAAGCGACTCAAATGGAAATTAGTTTAATATTTGAATATGAAATGTCATAGGTTTGTCAATTTGATTTTTAGTTTATAATTTCCTGACTGCACTTTTTCATATTCGGTGATAGTTTGACTTCACATATTGAGTTACAGCAAAACACTGTACGAGGTAAAAGGAACACAAAAACCAAAGTAGCATGCATCTATGATGAACGTTCAGCAAATCGATTGATCCATGTACGCGGTTTTAGTGTTTCTACTACAGCTCATAAATGTTATGACAACCCTTTGCTCCAAATCTTTAGGATGGTTTTACCCACACGCCCTCCACTTTTCAGATCAAATTTTGCCATTCGACATGTTCAACATTATAAGAGTCTTAGAATTATAACATCAACTTGACTTATTCGACAAAGAAGACACAATTTATGGATAACAACTTCTTTAATGTATTATCATAGCGACGTTCCTGTGCTGAGCCTTATTCGTTGTCAAGATGTCGACCTTGTCATCCGTCAACTTCTAAGGAATTCCTTTTAAACAATTGATTAATTCGATGTAGGTTCTGACAATATGTTCACAAATGCATTCTATCCCAGACAGTTGAATATAAACATTGGTTCAGTGTACGTACATGTATATATGGAAACCAAAGAACCCCAGACACTCGTTTTTTATGCGAACGGCAGATGATAAATTCAAGTGACAACACAAAATATGAAATATTGTTATGCCACATATGCAATAGTCATTATTTATGTAATATATTCTGGCACGTGTCAAGTTTTTGTATGCGTGTGATGAGATGTATGTATATCTACGCACTGCTGTACTCGTGCTATGCCAATAATGCACAGTAAACGACGGAAGAAGATTAAGCTAGTGACTATACATGTCCAACATCGAGCGATATTATCTACGGTAGTACTCTCAAACACGCAAATGACAAAACAATTACATTCATATTGAAGTTCATTGAATCTATACTATCAATCAGTACAGACAAATTATAATGAGATCAAACAGAAAAATCTCACAACTTTAACAACATTAGACTGGTGCATTTTTAAAATACAAATGTACATTATTTCTGAGGAATTGAATAATCAATATGCATGCCCTTACCTCAGTCGATGGACTAATGTCCGCCTTATATTCCTCACGCGACATCATTGAGAACATGGAAGAACACTGATTTCAGAAATTGCGTCTAATCAAGCAGGTGGCAATACGATAACGTCTCGCAGCAGCGTCGTTCATGTGACAAGAGTAGACGCTTGAGTGGACGTTGCCAAAGTCGAGAGCTGATACTGCGGACAATCACATCAGGAGTATACATCGGATCTCCCACGAATTTGGTCAAGAGACCAACCCATTGTATATGTTCATCTACCCTGAAGTAATCTATTCTCTCGCAGTGCTAACACGGAGACCGGCTGTGGCGTTGTAATTGTAACCAGTGTTAGACATGTTGTAGCATATTTGGAGACAAGACAATTAATGTGATCCTGTTTGCGTGTAAGTTCTGGTTTGTGAACGCCGTAGTTGTGCCAATATACTATACACCATAGTGTCTCAACATGTAGTCTGAACCGTGAAGGATAGTTGTATTGTGCCGAGCCAACACCACGTTAAGGAGCTGATATTTTGTTACATAATGGCCATGTCTATTTATGGGTGATTTAAGTGGCCATTCATTGTCTGTTAGTGGGGCGTGATATAGACAAATGCAACCTCACGAGACAGTATTATTTAGACTCACAGGTTTATCATATACTGATAGTGTATATATAAATATTACATAGATCAGCCGATAAGCTTTTTAGATCACGTACAGAGAGTACATACATTGCATGATTGGTCGAGCCTGTCGTATATTGCATGAAAGGAGTGTTAGCGTTAGGATTGACACCAACTGAAGTGGGTGGAGGTTATGAATAAAACTTCGAAGCTTTTCAATTAAATCATGTTCAATAAGAAATGTACAAATGAGTGTTGATGCCAAATATATCTTGTACCTTTATCGTTTCGGGTTTTTTATTAAATCCGTATGCGTACAATCAACACCTTATTATATTATAGATGATAAAGACGGACATTGAGGCAGGAATACGAGGAACCGTTATCACATTTAGATAGGGAATAACTATAAGTCCTTTGTCCTGGCCTTTTAGATACATCCCCCACCTACGTCTTTGTTTTATTACAGCACATCGCAGAAGACGGGGAAGAATAAATAGACCAATGACGTCATTACTTCAGGTGAGTTGACGTCCTATAATACGCACTGAAAAATCCACAAACGTTTAAATCTTTAAAGAGATACGAAGATCTAATAAAGAGTACTGATATATAATTGACAAAGACGCCAATTACAGCAATTTAAGAAGAGACACAATACAGCACATCATACGTTTGACTATCCGCCGCCCGAGTGTAGAATACCATTTCAATTACCACATACCTCGCCTGGGCAGTTCAGCAAAATACCATTAAGCTGATTTAATAGACACTTTCTTGTGGCATGATAGTACATTGTATCATACATTCCACAGCGTATTGGAGCTGAAACAGAAACACTGCCTGGGTCTGTCTTATTACCTGCGCCAGAGGAACGTATCAGGAACATTAGATATCCTCATCTGTACGTTATAGTATTACGTTTCGCTTTAGCATGTGAAAAAATAACTTCTCGATGGTACACAATGCAATTCAAGGCACATTATATATTCATTAGCTAATTTCCATCGCAGATATGTTGGTCTATGTTTATATACATATACTCTCAATAGCAGACATTGTTACATTGGCCAAAAGTGTATTGTTCTCGTGTCTTCGTGTGTTGTGCATGATGGATGCATGTGTTGTGCATGATGGATGCATATGCATGACATTGTATACTTTTAGTGAAAATATGGACCATCTTGTAAATGTTCACATTTACCCATTTTTAATGTATACGCATACCAGAAAAAAATCATATCTGTGTTTATACACATATGTACATATATTAAATGATCTAGACCTACTTTCGTTTGCCAATATAAATTTCTTTGTTCATAAAGCATATTATGAGAGTATAAACAAGACATTTAAAGTATGTACTAAAATTTGCAAAGTCAATTTTATACCATAGATATAGGCATGTGTGCAATATAACACCACCAGTT